TCATAAACTAAATGGATGAATTAAAAATAAGTATGCATATCCAGATAATATCCAATCAGAAATTCTTCAAAACCTAATTATGAAATTGCTGGTCTTTAAAAAAATATATAAAACTTTTGTTTAACATTAATCTCCATTCTCAGGGCTTAAAAATAGCCATTGTGACCCAATTCATATAATGTCTTTGAGGATCAGTAAAGGAAATAATCCCATTAGATTAACATCTGTTTCAAGGAAAATAACTGAAAGGAATATTAAAGAGGAAACAAGTGAATATGCAGAAGAATGAGATTTGCTAAAAAGCACGGCTTCTGCAAGGAATCTTGTCTCACTAAATTTTCAAACATTTATAAGGGTATAGAAATTCAGGGAGATAAGGATTATCCAATTAATAATGTTCATGTGGTTTTAAAAAAGCCATTATCAAAATTCTTCATAAAGACTTCTAAGGAAACTGAGCTGCATGGAATAAGTACTTATCCAGATTGGCATCTGTTAAAAATAGGAAATGGTTGGAATAAAAGTTCGGTTCTCATAGTGGAAAAAAGTGCATAATATAGAAAGTGGTGATTTGCAATTTTTATATGATGTGGGATTCATTTTGGACTGTTAGGTGTCCGTGTTTGCTAACAATACCAAACTGTTCCAGGTAGTGAAATCAAAAAACAATAGTGCAGAGCTCCAAAAAGATCTCTCCAAACTTAGATAGCCTTCTAAATGGCAAATGCAGTCAGGGTAAATAAGTAAAGCAATACATGTTGGTACACATACAAAATGTCCATTTGTAATACATTAATGCAGTGGTTCTCAACCTTTCTAATGCCGCGACCCCATAATACAGTTCCCCATGTTGTGGTGACCCCCAACCACTTATACATCACCGGGTGCCAGGGGCGTGGACAAAGAAAAGGGGAAAAAAATGGCGGACAGCCTTGTTTGGCGACCCCCATGAAATAGTCGTTCGACCCCAAATGGGGTCCCGACCCACAGGTTGAGAACCACTGCATTAATGGGATATGAGCTGGTAATAAATGCTAATGAAGGGGACTTGGAATCACAGTTGACTGCTTGGTGAAAATATCAACCTTGAAACTGTTATGTGATAGGCAGATGTTGTTTGATAGTATAAAAGGAATTGTTGCAGGACATAAACTGTTCAATTGCAACTGAATTTTGCAATTGACTGATGATTTTGTCAATCCCAGTGATGTTCAAGTGTTGTTACTATTATTATCCTAAGTATGTAGTAGAATTGCAAATTATGGTGATATCACAGAGTATTATGCATAGTTCTGGTCACTGCATCTTAAGAAGAATACAATTTGACAGAGCTGGAAAAGATTGGGAAAAAAGAAAACCAAAAATTATTGGAGACCTGAATATTTTTTCTTTGTAAAAGGAACAATTATCACTGGTGGTCGTTGGGCTACACAGCCAACACTCAGAGGCAGTGTGAAATAACACAGTGATATTTTATACCCATAGGACCTTATGTAACTAGAGGTTAGGGATGCTATGAAAAAAAATTACTAATACAGTAAGGACACTGTGAAATGAAAACATTTGGGAAACTCTATAGTCTTAACATCGAAGTAATTGTATTAGTCTTCAAAGTGGCATGTAATTTAATCAACTGTTTCCTTGTGTCTCAGTTAAATATCTCAGATTATTCCATATTTTTTACAACCACAGTCTTCTGTTTATACTGAAGTTGAAAAGTATTATTTATGCTTTTTTCCCCCTTCAGTTTGTTGTATTGTACTGTAGAACATTAAAAACTTCTGTTTCTGCAGAGTAGATGTTCCAAGGAGGAGATGTATTGCAATTCTGTTAGACTGCAGTCTCTGCATACATATTTCCACTGCTGGATGCAATATATGCAAATATGTTCATACCACTTCCTTCCCATCCCATCCCCCTGCGACTCCAGAATGGATTTAAAATTGTACTACAATACAATTGCTTATGACAGCCCTTCTTCCATTTACCAGATGGAAACAAAGCAGCAGGTTATTTTGCTTTGTTAAAGTCCTGATATTATTTTCTTAATATTGCAAAGTAGCAACTTTGCATTTGGAAATAAGGAAATGAAGGACTGGAGATTTGGAAATAAGGAATGAAAAGGATACATCCTATGTAATCTTGTTTTGTTCCATAGATAGAGAAGAATGGCTAGAAATAGAAGGGTGTAGTTCATTGACTTTTTATACTGAATTCACTAAATTCTTTATTTGTGGATGAACCATCTGTAGCAATTGAAGACCCATCTTTCAAAATGTTTGAATTTTGTATAAATTGTATAAATACAAGGACTGGATAATCATTAGTGTTTTAAATATATGTGTGTTTTACATGTAAATAATCTTTCCAGGTTATTCAGCTAAGATGATCCAAGGCCTGCCTGCATGTGAGAATTTTCAGCTGTTTTAAAATTTGAGTTTATTCATGCAAAAGAGATAGAAAATAATAAGCTAGTGTGGGTGCTTTAGGCTTTGATCAATAATAACCAATAATGTTAATAAAACAAAATTGAAAATATAGGCTGCTTCAGCAGATTATAAAAGCCTTACTAGTTGCAAAAACTTTCCTAGTTGTTTTCATTATCTATCTTTACCTATTTTATAAGTAGAAAACTGAATTTCATAACAGCATTATGATAATGTAACCAAGTTCTGGTTTGTGCTTCATTTATATTAATATCTTTGCAGCATAGAACTGCAGGAAAAATAGTGCTGCATATGCCATTTTAATACAATCTGCATATTCATATTGAGTTGATCCATTAGTATGGATACTTGGCTATAAGGGGAGTGTTGAGAAGTTGGGCTCCTCAGCTCTGGAACTCTTTTTCCTGGCACCCATGTTGACTTTTCAGTATTAGAATAAAGCCCTTTCTCTTTCTTGGATTGTGAATATGGGCTTAAATTAGCTTTCAGTGATTTAGTGATGTAGTGCTTCTTGAGGCTTCTGTTACCGTTAGAATACATTATTTTAGATAGTTGGTTTTTTTATGTATGTTGTACATTGCAATTGGAGTAGTACCTGGGTGAAATGTAATAATCAGCAGCATGTATGGATGATATCACTTCATGCATCCTATTTAAAAGTAAGAGAAAGCATTGAGAGCTAATGTTGTATAGTGGTCCTGGCACTGGATTAGGAGCAGGAAACCTTGGCTCTGGACATTCTTCTGCCATGAAAGCAACTTTGGAACAAATTTTCTCTGTTAACCCAACTGAGCTTTGTGTGTGGCCGTCATGGGAATAAAAAGGAAAACAGAGGTCTGGGTAGGTTACTTGAGCTTCTGAACAAAAGGTGGAATATAAAGCTAATATGTAAGCTTTATGTATTTCATAGTCTATGGCTTTTAATGGTAGTCTTTTATTAGTTATAATTCTCAGTGGTTCTGGACTAGTTATACTAATTTGTGGCTGCAGTAAAATATTGAAATTGAATGTTTGTTGCAGCAGAACACTTGAAAATGGCAAAACAAATGCAACCCAGAATTGTGTATTTGAAGGTTTTGTTACTGAAGCATTCAGAATTACTTCATCACTGTATTCTACTAGATTTTTATATTTCCCACAGGTAATGTTCCATATGTAAAATAAGGCATGTGCTGTAGTGGAATGCCATACATTATTGTAGAATGAAATCTTTATGTTTTCTTTTTATCATTTTCTATTTTGAAGACCATCCAGACTGCAGCATCACACAGAGTAATGGGGCCTCTGTTGTACTAAGCTGCACTGACTTCCAGTTTCTTTCTGGGTGCAATTCAAGGTGCTAGTCATCACCTTTAAAGCTCTATATGGCACAGAGCCAGATTATCTGCGGGACTTAAGGCCATCTACCCATCCTACCAGGTCAACTCCTAGTACCTTGCCTGAATATTGTTATCTGATAGGAACTACGAATTGTGCCTTTTCTGTGGCAGCCCCTGCCCCTTGGAACAGGCCTCTACCCTCGTTCATAAAGCTTTGTAGCTCTGGCATTTTCCTCAAGTTCTGGGATCGTATTTGGATGACTGCACATTAGAAGCCTGACTTGGCACCAGATTTTTTTGTTGTTTTTAATGTGTTTAGTTTTATAACTTTAACGTGATTTTATATGTGGTTTTAACTTTTGATTGGGAGAGTCGGTTAGAAGATGGGCTATGTTTTAAAGAAAGAAAATCTTTCTTCTCTGGAGTTGGCTTTTTGCACAATCAGGAAAGCAAAGTAGTGGCATGCCTAACCTTGATCTTGTAGCATTTCTAGTGGCTTGGAATAATGCTCCATTATTCATGCTTTGACCTGTCGTTTTTGCTCTGCTTTTGGAGACTGAAAGCAGCAACTGCTGTTCTTTTTCAACAGATCCTGGATTGATTAGAAACCTGGAATTTACTGCATGGCAATCTATGCCAAGTTATGGAGCACCATCTGGTGTCTTTATTAAAAATTGGCATGACCATTTTACTTTCTCATACAGTATGAATGGAGAAAAATGACTTATGATGGAATAATTTTGTGTGTATGCTCCTTGAAGCTAGATGTACCATGCCAGTGTTATACTTCAGTATAGAACATACTTTCTTTAAGATGTAAATTTGTCTGTAGTTTTATGGAAACTCAACATCTATAACTTTTCATAATTTGTAGGACTGGAAATTCATTCTATTCTGGTTGAGATCCAGCTAGTGGTAATAAAAAACAAAAATTTCCAGCACCATCTATTCCTGCTAGCCCATCTTCTCTGTCCATGTTCATGAAGAGAGAAAACTGGAATGTATTTTTCCTGCAAACTGTCCTTGGTCAAAACTTGTAATACAGCCCAGTCTTTGTTTTCTTGGCTGCTCTAGAATTTCATAATTTCACAGGACTCATGGACTAGACAAGATGCAAATTAGCTTTGAAAGAAGATACTTCTTACTGTTAGATATCTCTTACAGAATATATATATATATATATTTAAAACAATAAATTGCGTTCTGATGACTTAGTTTTCATATCTTTCTGAAGATTATTATAGTCCTGAAATGATGGGTCTGAAAACAGATCAAGAGGTTCTTGGACACCTTGTGAAAATGAAGATTCCCGCTGTGGCAGAATTAATGGAAAAACATGGCAACTTGTGGACTTTGGTGGCATCCCGTTGGTTTATATGTTTGTTCATTGACATTCTTCCAGTAGAGGCAAGTGAGAATGACAACAACTTATTGCCTTTTATATAATTATCCAAATTCTAGTGCATGTATTTCATACACTCAGTAACTAATTTAATTCTTCAACAGACTGTGCTCCGAATTTGGGACTGTTTGTTTTATGAAGGATCAAAAATAATCTTTCGTGTGGCCTTAACATTAATTAAGCAACATCAAGATTTCATTTTGGAAGCTACAAATTTTCCTGAAATCTGTGAAAAATTTAAGCAGATTACTACAGGGTCATTTGTAACTGAGTGTCACATATTCATGCAGGTGGGTGTCATCCTAGAAAACAATGAATCTGCTATAAAAATATGTATTGATACTATTGCTCATAAGATTGTTTAAGCGGGCTTTATGAAATATAATTCATTATTTTTAAAATATGTTGTATTTAATTATACGGTGTGTAGGCTGCACAATGCCCAACAACTCTGGGAGGCTCACAGTTAAAAAGAAAACAAAAACAAAAGAGATCATGAGCTGCTGAGACAAATATATAAAACAAAACGGCTCCATCCAACAGGAGTTCAACTATCACCTTGCCCTGAAGAATATTAGCAATAGCACATAAGACATGTATACCATTTTATAGCGCTTTAGGACACTCTCTAAGCGAGGCATGTCAAACTGCTGATCTGCGGGCTGGATGCGTCACGCTGAAACTGTGCCGACTCCATTGCCAGCAATGGGGAAAAAGTCCCATTATGTCATGTGATTTCACATGACATCGCAAGTTTGACATACCTGCCCTAAGCGGTTTACAGTCAGCATATTGCCCCCAATAATCTGGAATCCTCATTCTACTGACCTTGGAAGGATGGGAGGCAAGTCAACCTTCAGCCAATCAGGATCAAACTCTTGGTAATGGGCACAGATCATGTTGGAAATAATCCACAGCACTGTAGAGTCAACCAGGGTCTCTCACCTCTGCATAATCAAAATAGCTAAGGATATACAGATAATAGATAATGGAAATGTAGATGCCATTTTACTTTTATGGGTATGCTTTCTATCACACTTCTGGAACTACATTTAACCCTACAAGGCCCTTACTTTCAAAAAGTCACTTTGCTTCAATAAAGTCTACCATTCATTTATATTCATGATTTGCCTGCAGGGATGTCAAATTAGTTTCAATTAGCTTCATATAGTGTCAATAGCCATATAATTTGTTTCACAGATCAGGGGCATCCCCATGCTTCGTAAATACTGAATAGCACTAAATCTCTGGAAAGTTGAGAGATACTGTCCTTTTCTATAAGGAGAACCCTGTAGAACCTTGGAGTGTCTCAGAGACCCCTTGAGTCCCCCATTCTATCTCGTTGTGGCAAATTAAATCTCCAAACAAGAACAAGCGAGGAACAGTCTTCTTACTGTCCAGCAGCTGATATTTAAAATATGCTGTCTCTTCAGTCACGATGCAACCAGCCAGCTTAGTAATTACTAATAGATTGGTTTATGTAAATTTGTCAAATTTTCCTCCTACAATGATTTTCGATGGCCACTGCAACTAATGGCAGCAAATTCAACAGTTGAACAACATGCTGTGTAAATGAACTTCTTCAAATCTTGAATCTCCTCCATGTATTTAGTTTTAGTGGATGCCCCCAATGTATTCATTCTGAGGAGAAAAAATTATCTTCCTATGTGCCATATTAACCATATATGATGTTATAGATATTTACAATGTCTTCTTTATCTATCTTCACTCTGAAAGGTAGGAGTTTTCATGCATAAGATTGGTGCTTTACTTGTTTTCTTTATAGGATTTTTTTTTTGGGGGGGGAACACAATATTTTTAAATGTAACACAGTATTCCAATTATTCCTAAGCACAATTCCCTCTTATTTTGAGTCAATTAAAAATCTCTAGGGTCAGATATAAATTCGCTAAAATTTTGATGGGACCGTTCTAAGATCCATCTAATTTTTGGCCTTGAGAAAGTTACAATTGCAGCATAAATTTAGCTGGCATTTAGAAATAGGCTGTGTCTAAAAATGGAAATTTAGATATAGGGCTAATTTTCCTCCATAGCTATTTGACCAAATTGGTACAAGACCCTAATGGTTCACTAGTTTTCATCTTCTAATGTACTGCAAGTGAATTTTAAGTATTTCTTAATGCACACGTGTAACAATCTGGATGGAATCTTGTAAGTTGTTGATTTAATAATGTGATGCATCCCATTCTAGGAAGAAAGATTTGACTCATGGTATTTTTTGATTAGTGTGATTCTGCTCATTTTGTACCACAAAGCACATACAGATATTTCTTTGCATCGTAGTATATGCTAATATTTTAATTTTCAATTCTAGAAAATATTTACGGAACCTGGAAGTCTGCGAATGGCTACAATAAACAAACTACGAGATACGTGTAGAGCAAATCTGATTACTTCAGTCTAAATGAACATTACTTCACTTGCTCAGATACAATTTTCTCAGGCTGCCATTGACACTACACTAATTAGCCCCAGCCTTTCATGTGTTCAATGGGATTTTTTATTTTAAAAAAAGCACAAACACTTTAATTATGTAAATAAAATGTAATGTAGATGTAATCCCTTTTCAACAAATGGACTATATATTTTCAGACATTTTTGTAATAACAGAATACAAAACTATATAATAAAGTATATTTGAAGCTATCATTTTTTGAATTGTAACCATGTTAAGGCTCTGGACTTTAAGTAGAGATCCTTGTTTAGAAAACTAGTGGTCTACTTAATCTCACTTTTTTTTTTTAAAGAACAGCGTATCTACCCTTTTCTGTTGTCTGGCTCTGCTAAATGAGATTATTTTATTTATATGCACACACACACACACACACACTTACATTCTGAATAGTGAACTCTGATAGAATCAAAAACACCAGGAGTTACACCTTACAGCAAATTAAGAAACAATTTGTTTTTTTCTACTTTTCTGCATGCAACTGTAGTGAGCAAAATGCTTCATGTGAAGTTTTGTCCTGAATTCATCCCAGAACTGTCGGTTGGACAAGAGCTGCAATCTCCTATGTTACTCTCATGTGCTACTAATGGGAAGTTATTCTATCAAGGAATAACCAAGTTGTTTTTTCTTATTCAATCTACTACTTTGTAACATTTTAACTTGCTGTAGTATTGTGGGGAATCTCTATGGATAAAACTATAGCAAACACAAGAGCTTAGGTTCATGTGTGACAAGGAAATTCCATAAACACAGATCCACTTGTTTAATGGTAAATTCCTCCACACACTCCAAGGAAAAAAATCAATTATACAAGGATCGAAGGAATATTATTTGAAATACAAAACATGGATTTAGATTTTAGGCTTATAGTTTACAACTAAGAATCTGAGGTAATAGAGTTACCCCTCCAAACTTTACAAACAAGCTTAATTTACTTCAAAATCAAAGCAGCCTTGTAATTGCTTAAAAGAACACCGAGAACATACAGAAAAGTCTTTATTAGCATTGTTACAGGCAATGCATTCATAACTGATCCTTGCAGTGTACAGTCCCAGCCAAAGTCAAAGCAAGAATTAGCAGATTGAAATTTATTGTACACATGTGCAGAAAGAGGATCTCCTTTGAACTTCCAACAAAAGAGACTGAAATTCACTTTACCAAAAATAAAGTAACACCCATTTTCATGTAAAAAAGGGCCAGCTCCTACTAAGCTGACAGACCAAAAATATATTAAGAATTAGCCACGTTTTATTTTCACACTTTGCATATACCAAGCTTAGCATTTAAAGATTAATGATACACACCTAGGTAGAGGCAAAGTGGGAATAGCAGAGGTCAATTGGTCAATCATTACTGTAAATGCAGTAACTTAAGTCAGCACAGGTTGGTAGTACCAGAAAAGTGGAAATTTCCCTTTGTTAAATACAATTAATCTGAATTTAAGTGGAGTATGAAGTAACTATATCATCCTCATTTAAGTAGTTGACATTATAAACCATGCCAATTCAGAAAAGCATTCATAAAATTTCAGCCTGTTTCTAGATGGGCAAATATTTAGCCCATTAGCAAAATTAAACAGAACTAAAGTTATTCTTTGTGCATAGTTAAATGCCACAAAATGGATTTCACATTTAGTAAAGCAGACACTGCAAGAAACAGTTGTAAGGAAAAGATTGTGCTCCCTCATAAATCTAATTGAGGAGAAGATGGGGGAGGGGAATCAATTTTCTGCTTCTTGCGACTGCTATTCTTCCATGCTGGTATAATTCAGTGCAAATCATTAAATTGTTTGATAACCAGCATGGCTACGTTTTCGGCCAATTAAATATGCAATCAACACTATGAGGACAAGTCCAGCAAGGGCTGCACCAACTACAATAGGAATCAACATATTATTTTCATCCAGCTGACATTCTTCCACTGAAAGAAAAATAAATAAACATAATTCAATTTTAAATAGATAAAAGAGCAAGGCAAGTACAATGTAATTCTTTCAATAGAGAATTATAATTTGTCAAAGCATCTGACTAAACCCAGACTACAATACTATTTATTACACTAAATGTAAAAAATTCCACCTGAGAGAATTGTATTCATACCATTCAGAATACAGTGGTAAAAATCTGTAGACTGCACATGGAGAACTAGCTTTAAGATTACAAACAGACTGGATTCTCACATTGTGTTAAGAGTAGAATATGATTTGTTATAATCACTGAATAAAGCAGTATTCCCATAACATTGGGACAAATAAATCACATGCCTTGAAGCAATGTGTAAAACCAGGAATTATCTGTTTGGAAAAAAGCCATCTCCATTCAAATTAAAGAAATGCAATTTGACACTTCACTTGCCAATGATCAAATAAAATGTATAATTTTCTGTTTTCACAAAAATGATCCTAGTGGTAGAAGTCCTTAGCTCGGCTTTAGGCAGTTCTGCCATATAAAAGAATTTATTTTGATTTTCAAAACTGGAAGTTCTACTTTCCAAAACAAACCTGGCACAGAGTTAGTTCCCAATTTGAAATGGCAAAGAGATATTTATTTACCATAAGCATGTTCAACAGGACATTACAGTTTTCCCATTAGATCTAATCAAATAAACTTTGTAAAATTCCAATGCAACCTCTATACTCTATTGAGCATTTGAAACTGTTCTGGCAAATACAAGCCCTGCTGAGCTCTTGCAATATATTAATAACAGTACTGTATTATACTGTATAAAACTACCTTGCCCCAGGTTACCATCCTACTAAGAATTATGGTATTATCTTCTTGCAAAATTAGAGCCATCTTGATCTGCCTTAATTTTGTTTTAAAAAATTCAAATGATGGCAATTTGTCTACTTCAGTTGGCTCAGTTATTTAAATAAGACTGCTACATTAGATAATATTCACTTTACATTCTAATAAGAAATTAGTGTCAAAGGTTGACTTTCATTTAAAATACTTTACATTTCTTAAGCTGCTATTCATTAATTTGGGGGAAAAGATGAGACAACCATAACCATTTAAACTATGCTGATAGATTAGCTTGTTAACCAATAGGTAAGAAAACTTACATATGCCAGTTTTATATGGGAATCTTATTGTATCAGCATAACTGATTACAAGCAGACCATAATTACTACTTGAGACATACTATTAGACTGCAAAGACTGGCACTTACAATGGATATTCCTTTTGATGGAGAAACTGTATATATACTATCTATATATGTAGGTCTTTGGTTGTTCGGGTTTTCTCCCGCATAAAATTGGAAGTGTCTTGGCGACGTTTCGACGAAGTCCCATTCGTCATCTTCAGGCTGGTGTTTTCAGCTTCGTGCTTCGAGCAGCAATGTGTGGTCTTAGCTGTTTCTTCCTTTTAACTGCCAGTGGGGGTATGAACTGATTGGGTGGGAGCTTGGCTGTGTTCTGATTGGGTGGAGGTGTCAGAACACAGCCAAGCTCCCACCCAATCAGTTCATACCCCCACTGGCAGTTAAAAGGAAGAAACAGCTAAGACCACACATTGCTGCTCGAAGCACGAAGCTGAAAACACCAGCCTGAAGATGACGAATGGGACTTCGTCGAAACGTCGCCAAGACACTTCCAATTTTACGCGGGAGAAAACCCGAACAACCAAAGACCTACATACAAACACCTGCGAAAACCTCAGAAAACAACTATCTATCTATATATATATAATAAAATGGCTACAATCTCAATTCCCCATTCTCATGGGACTGTTATTTTTTTAATGTAGCATTTGTCTATATGCCACAGGAATTGTAACGTTGTCTCTTAGAACACTTTTATCAACTCTGTTTTGAAAGGGCATGGGGCTAAATTGCTTAAAATACTTTTAAACAAAACATTTCAATAGCTTCAATAGGAATGCATATTTGCAATAAACTATGTTTTTAATCTATATTCAAGAGACCTTACCTGCTCCAAATTTGTATCCTGCAACCTTGAAAGCCTGAACTTGAACATTGTATATATTGATAGAAGCTTTGTCTGAAACCTGAATTATCTCTTCTGCCACACACTTGTAAGATTTTCCAATTGTAGCTTTTAGGGCATTTAAGCTATTGTTGACAACACTGATACTTTTTTCTGCAAAAGATTTACAGAAACAATCCACATTACGAGCAACCATGATTTAAAAAGACAAGTGAGAGGAAGATGTAGAACTGAACTAAAAGTGAGCAGTCAACCATTGCTGCTGATGTTCTGCCCTCCATCAAATAATAAGTTCAAAAGTCATCTGTTTTTTTTTAATTAGAAACCATCAAATCATGACTGACAATTTGATCAAAGGTCCTACAGTTTAAATACTTGGTTTTTTTTAAAAAAGGATTTGGAAGACCCTTCGGAGAAAAAGAATAAATAATGTACATTAGTGCAAATTTAGGAAATGTAAAAGAAATTTAATTGAGCAGTTTGCATTTTTAAAACACACTATGTATTTTTAAATGTTTAGAACATTAACATTTTATAAAGGAATTGAATTCTTACCTGTAGCTTCAGAAGGAAGATCTGCGTTCACAAGGATGCCATGCAAGAAATATTTCTCAGTACTTGAATTCTTTAAAAAAACAGATGTAATCACTTATTAATTTCATTTTTCTTTAACAAAAGCTACTTCAATGTTTGCAGTTCAAATACCTCACAGTTTTTAATTCAGAGAAAACGTGCATAATGTGTGAAGCTTTGAAAAGTCTAATAGTAATTAAAACTTTTTTTTAGAAATTTAGTACTTAAAACTGGTTCTCCAAATACCACCCATTGCAGTACCCTCCAATCACATGATCACAATCCAAGTGCTTGGCAACTGGCTCACACTTGTGATGATTGCAGCATCCTGCTATTATTATTTGGGACCTTCCTTGCCAGTTTCCCACAAGAAAAATTAGCAGGGAAACTGGCAGAGAAGGTTGAATTTGCTCCCTCCACTTTCCTATACAGTCTTCCTCTGCAGCAGTCCCCTTTCCCCCTGTCTGGCAGTGCTTATGCATGCCAAACTACAGCTAGCATCCCCCATGCAGTTGCACTCAGTGGAACTCGCCTCTCCATCAATCTGCTTGCAAGCTTCCTGAGACTTAAGACTTCCTGCCGGCTTTCCCATTGATTTTGCTTGTGGGAAGCTGGCAGTAAATTAAGTCATATGCTTACTTAACAACAGCAATAGGGATTGCTGGAATTGCTGTTGCTGAGGAATGTGATCACATGATATCATACGTTACAACTTCCTTAATCAGTAATGGAAATTCCAGTCCCAATGACTGTTGATAAGCAAGGACTTTATGTACATCTTCTAAGGATTAATCAATTTAAACCACAGCATATTAATTTGCTGCATTGTGAGCTTTTTCTGAAAATTTATTCCGAATTCATTATGATGGTATTCAGAAAAACAAAAGGGACTTTGGAAGTCTTCTAGTCCAACCTCCTGTTCAAGCAGGAAACCCTGTAACATTTCAGACAAATGGTTGTCCAATTCTTCTTAAAAAACCTCTCAATTCCTGCAACTGTTTTTCATATGTTTTAGACTCCACTTCCCTAATCATCTTTGTTGCTCTTCTCTGAACTCTTACATCTTTTCTATATCATGGCGACTAAAACTGGATGCAACAGTCCACAACAGGCATTACAAAGTGGTATTAACACTTTATGTGATTTTGATTCTGTCCCTCTGTTAATGCAGCCTGGGAATGTGGCAGCTGCAGCACCCTGCTGGTTCATATTTAAGTGATTCTCCACTAGGACTCCGAGATCCCTCTCACAGTTACTACTATTGAGCCAGGTACCACCT